AAACAGGAAAGGGCCTTCCCTAAACTGTTGCCACAAAGTTGGAAGTACAGAATCATCTAGAATGTCATTGTATGCTGTAGCGTTATGATTTCCCTTCACTGGAACTAAGGGGCCTAGCCCGAACCATGAAAAACAGCCCCAGACCATAATTGCTCCTCCACCAAACTTTACAGTTGGCACTAGGTAGCATTCTTTTGGCATCCGCCAAACCCAGATTATTCCGTCGGACTACCAGATGGTGAAGCGTGGTGTATCACTCCAGAGAATGCGTTTCCACTGCTCCAGAGTCCAATGACGGTGAGCTTTACACTACTCCAGCCGATGCTTGGCATTGCACATGGTGATCTTAGGCTTGTGTGAGGCTGCTCGGCCTTGGAAACCCCTTTCATGAAACTCCCGACGAACAGTTATTGTGCTGACGTTGCTTCCAGAGGCAGTTTGGAACTCGTTAGTGAGTGTTGCAACCGAGGACAGGCGATTTTTATGCGCTACACGCTTCAGCACTCGGCGGTCCCGTTCTGTGAGCTTGTGTGGCCTACCACTTCGCGGCTGAGCCGTTGTTGCTCCTAGACGTTTCCACTTCACAATAACAGCACTTACAGTTGACCGGGGCAGCTCTAGCAGGGCAGAAGTTTGACGGACTTGTTGGAAAGGTGGCATCCTATGACGGTGCCACGTTGAAAGTCACTGAGCTCTAAAGTAAGACCGTTCTACTGCCAATGTTTGTCTATGGAGATTGAATGGCTGTGTGCTCGATTTTATACACCTGTCAGCAACGGGTGTGGCTGAAATAGCCGAATCCACTAATTTGAAGGGGTGTCCACATACTTTAATATATATAGCGTATCTCCATGTGTTTCATATTATGTTTAGTGTCAGTCTGGCTTTGGTTTGTTCTGTCTTATTGTCTTTGTGTTCATCCTGATTGTGCTTTTGAGCTTTTGTGTCTCGGTGTGCTTTACAATCCCTCCCCTTCTTTCTCCCCTTCTTACATCACTCTTCCATCCTGCCTTGCCATCCACTCCTCCTCTCTTCCATAAAATCCCTTCATCCTCTTTCCTCAGTCGTCTCCTTCCCCCCAGCTCCCACTCCTTGGCCCTCCATCTCCTATCCCCCCATCCCCTCATTTGTGCCTGTAGTGTCCTTCTTCCCCCCCGAGGCCCCTGCCGCGGCAGATTCAGAGGCCCCACCCAAGCCTGTGGGCACTGCCAGCCTCTCCCTTGCATCTGCTCCCAGCACCCAAATGCAAGCCCCGCCGCACGGGCATGACACTGCGCTGCTTCAGCCGCCGCACCAGATACACATTCAGCAGCACCTCAAGCTGCACATTCACCCGCAAGGCAAATCATGGAGAGGTAAAAATTACAGTCCAGGCAGACCAGGGTTATGTTCATTAGGGCACGCAATGGAAAAACGCTTTAAAACGGTTGGCAATGGATAATGGAAATTAGAGTTTCTTATTGGACAAGTCCAGGTAGAGTCCCTCCCTGTTTCAATCCGTTTTTTTCAGTTTGGTGCCTTTTGAACATGACCTAGGGTCAATGGAGTAAGTAGAGTGGAGCAAAGTTGAGTTCAAATAGCCACTTTGAGCAAGACACCATGAGCTTGATTGTATTTTGAGTAAGGGATTATGGTAACCAGTCAGAAGTCAAATAGACACTATAATGTATTGATAGGGGTGGATAGTGATAATTCTCCTACTTAGAGAGATTGGATCCTGGGAAGTAGAGTAGCAGTTAAGATAGAACAGCTTTGCACACCTGCTGGCTTCACATACCTATTGCTATTGCTTTGTGCTTTGCTTTGCTACCCCAAAACGCACTTGTTTTTACCTTTATACAATATATCCTGATTAAATAGCCAGCCAACCTTTAGAAATGAGAAATACAACCTTATGTAACAATCCTTGGATAGCTTTTCAGAATTTATCGATACATTGGCCCACATGGAAAACTAAAATGACTTGATAATAGGAAATACATTTATTTCCATGACAGCTTTAAAAAGCAATTTTGGGTTGACCAATGTAGATATTTTCAAATACATCCAACTTAAAAGTTTTATATCACATATTTAAATTTGAAATCTGGACATCAGAGCAATCTTAAAGGAATCTTATTTGAGTCAGAAAAGGATATTCATATGATAGGTAAGATATACAAAACCTTGCAGAGAGCCTATCCAACTGACAACCTCTTAGAAAAAAATATAAACTATTGGAACCAAGATTTAAAAAGAATTGATATTGGCACAAGATGGATGGAATGTTGGAACATAACTAACGAGATTACAGTTAATGAAAATTAATTTTTTTTACATTTTAGTCATTTAGCAGACACTCTTATCCAGCGCGACTTACAGTTAGTGAGTGCATACATTTTCATACTGCTTAATCCAGTATAAATTAATGTATAGAATGTATTATACAAGAGACAATTCACAAATTCTACAGCACAATGGCAGAGTCATGTCTGAAGTGTAAACTACTAATGATTCAATAATTCATGCCTTCTGGGAATGTTACAAAATTCAAAAGTTATGGGCGGAGTTGGAAAGATGGATGTCAGAGGTATTGCAATGTAAATTTACTTTTAATTCATCTGTGTATATTTCAAGACATGACATATGAGGGTGCAGTGAGATACCCGATGAGTTGGACAATACTCTTCTCATCAATTATATTTTAAAAAATTATACTCAAAAACTGGAAATCAGCCCATCCTCCGTCGTTCAAGAATGGAAAGGTCAAATTCTTTATTATCTCAAAATTGAAAGAGCGTGGGCGACGGAGAGAAACAAAATCGTACTGTTTGAGGCCATGTGGCAGAAAGTGATAAGGGCGATGGAGATAGGGGTGGGGGCTAGTGGGTCTGGGCAGGTGTGATGTAGTGATGTTTGTAAGATGTAGTCATTTGTATGTGTAGGTTGTCAATTGTTTATAAAATATCAAATAAAATCTTTAAAATATATATATATATATATATATATATATATATATATATATATATATATATATATATATATATTAGATGATAAATACAAAGTAGACATATCTCAATTTCAATGGTGAAGTTATAGAGGGCCCCAATATTGTAAACATTGAGTAAATTGAGTAGATTTTGTCAAATTGTGCAGTATAATCTCATAGAGTGCCTGCCTTTACAGGACATAAGCTTGCTTCCTACAGTATAATGAAATGCATAGTATCATACAGGATTCCAATATAGAACTGTTGTCATCATTGTAAGTATAAGTACTTTTACCCTGTTTGTTTTTCTGTCTGACATGCATCTCTCAGTTCCTATTGGTATTTTTAGCAGGAGAATTTAAAATGCATGATCACACATGCATAGCTGCGGGAAGTAGGGGTGCTGACTGCAGCACCCCCTGATAAATATATATTTTGTAAAAATTATTATAAAAAATAGATTTCCACAAAATTTGTGAACTGGCCTTTATTACTTTATTACTCCTTACTTTATTACTCCTTAAATTACTTTATTACCCCGTCGACAGCACCCCCAACCCAAAACATCTTCCCGCGGCCATGCACACGTTCAAGCAAGGAATTGAAGTTATTGAAATATTCTATTCAAGTGTTGGCATTGCCATGACAGCTTTGGTGGGGGACACTATCTGCATTGCCCCTCTGGATATATTTAAAGAGCAGTGTTATTATGTTATTAAGCATACAAACGTCTGTGTCTTTCAGTGGTTATCTCGGGCACATTAGAGATAAATTGATACTAAATTGTCTTATTTTTTCTATACTTTTTCCTTTTATTTTCAGGAGGTGCAAAGGAGAACAAATATGAATTAACAGGATTCTTTGGGAATAGTGGATACTAAGGTAAAAAAATGTAAGGTAAAACATTGAAGGCAGACTAAACTTGTCCTATAGATGATCCTATAGATTTTAAATCTTGGGCAGTATGAATATGAATTGTGTTGACCACTTTCTCTCCCTCTGTCTTTATCCTCTTAGGTTGACCAGGGCGACGGTAGCCATTTACAGCATTTGTTTAACTTCACTAGATTTTTTACATTCCTGTTGTTGTATATTTGTTTTAATTCCCTTTTTAATTGATCCTTAGTTTTTGTATAATTATTAATATCTCCCTGTCCATGCCAAACCAGTCCTGCCTGCCATATTTTTTATAGTTTTCATGCCATGTCTGTAATATCACTAGAACTAAGAAAACACACATTTAAAAGTGTTAGTGCATACCTTCTTTGTAGTTTATATTTTCTACAAGTTCATCTTGATTGTGTGTCCGTCTTATTTCATTTATTAAACACCTGTCTTACTGCGCTTACTGGTTACGATGCATCAAGCTTTGAGAGTTTGTGTGCTACAAATATTCAATGTGTTGATTGAATCAGTCCAGTTTTTGTCTGCATGTTGTCCATTCTGCATAGTTTTATATACTCAAACTCAGACTAATTTATTTTGTATGGGAAAGTTGTGTTTGCCACAGGTATGAAAAAACAACCTGTACATTTTTTGACAGTTTTGATGTAATAAAAACAGACTGGAAATACCATCAGTGTGGCAACAGTTTATTTTATGCATGTATTTATTTTTAATCTTTCAAGATGATGTCATTTCTTTCAAACAATATATTGTTGGTGTAATAGGTGGCAGTGAGTTTGAGCAGTAGGTGGCCCATCCAGAAATGGCCTGTGCCACATTACCATAGCTTCTTTAAAGCATCTTTATCCCAACTATTCCTTATACCCATTAAGGTGGTGCAATCCCTAGATTAGCCACTGAAATTACAGTACTGTAGAGCAAGATTGGAATATACTGTACATGCAGCCTAGAATCTCCGCAACAAACAGACAAATTGAGGAGAATGTTGAGTAGCGGCTTGGTGGCAACAGGTATATGACATTGAAGTAGTGAGCAGAGCACACCACACACAGCTGTCCAGTGAGGATTACACCAGATTTAACCCTATGAATAACAGTGATTGCTGATTGGTCACACAGAAAGCATGCCACTCTGTGAGCTCAACAGGTCGCTTGCTAAGAAGTTCAGTACCTGTTCCAAGGATGGGACTCGTGCCGACATTATCCTGCCAACTATCCTGCTTGACTTGACAATGTATGTGCCTAAAGTACTTACTGGAGACTCTTTCAGGATATATGTATATTGCACTATCAACTGATGTCCTGTAAACTCAGGGGGACATTGGCTGGGGAAAGCCACCATGGCTTGCTTACATGGACCACGACTACTGAATTTGGAGAAAACCCCTCCTCATCTTCAATTCAACGACTTGATCCTGACAGGCTACCGGCCCATTTCAACCTTTCAGGGGTGCATCAGAAGCCTGTTCTACTTGCACAATGAATTTGGTAACATTTATACCCATGGTAAGTATACAGCCTCTACCACTGAAATATGAACTGGCATAGTTTATGGATCATTTACACTTTAGAATGTGCCATTATAAATGCTTTAATATATATCTAAATGATTATACATATATAACTGATAATTAATTGTAATGCTTATACATTTGTATGTTTACAAAAAATGTATGAAATACTAATTGATCTATTATTTACACTATTAACAAAGTGTATTCATCATTAATTATTCAATATTATAAAGTGTTATCTATTTTTCTCCTGTTTGTTTACTAAATTGTCTCATCTCAAGTGTATTATGTATTTAATGTATAGTCTAAGTGAATATTTAGTCTTTGCAGGCTAGTAGATTTCTTACTACACCAATAATGAAATTGTAAACGGCTGCAAGTCTGAAAATGAGGCCACTTTGGGCTACTCTCACTTATGGGCTATTTACAAGTATACCGGTACTTGACAAGTATGTGTAAAGAGACAAAGATATGGGGGATTACTGGTAATCTGTCCTGGATATAATGCACTAGTAATTGCCCTTGGAGTTGTATGATTGACCCATTAAAGTGGTAAAACATGTCAAAACACTTTTCTATTTTTGGCAACAACTCTCAATAGGCTATGCATGAAACTTGAAAGATGCACCAAAAAAAGAGGAATTATTATCATACATTTAGGATACATTTTGTTTGTATGATTATTTTCCACTGTCTCAAAAACCCTGCAAAGATGTACATAATGCTATGAAATGCATAAAATTGCAGAACGTTAGTTGTTTAAGCACATGCAGCTATGCACCCTTGAACTAAGTGTGGCATCCTCTATGATGAGACTCCTCCTTGGATAGCCTCTTTAGCTAAGCACATTAACACTAACTCTAACTCAGGAGGGGATTAGCATAGGGGAGTTGCTCAGCAGACTGCAATACACCTGTGAGAGAGACTTCAGAGAAATAAAATGGTGTTGGAGAAAACAAACAGCAGGGCTATTATACTATGAGGGCCATTTCACGGACACAGATTAAGCCTAGTCTTAGACTAATTAACTAATTGACTAGTGACTAAAACGAACAGTTTGAATCCATTACAATTGTTTTTTTAGTCTAGTAGTAGGCTTTATCTGGTGTACTCCCCTGTATGTACTGGTACCAATGATTTATAAATACCCTAGACTGATGGCGGTGCTGTGTTGAATCCACCACGCCTCCATCTTGGCACTCCTACACCATTGTAATAAATATTTTGGAAGCTATAGAAATGCATTTATTAATGTCAACGTTTGTTTTTGCCACATTGATTATATTACAGACACCTTAATGCATACTTTTAAATGATATTATGTGAGCTAAACATAAAAATTAAATGAAAACATATATAAAATTAAACTTTTTTTAGATTAATGTCCCCACTATAACAACAAATTATGAAATACGTGTAATTTTGTCCTTGAAAGATTTAATTGAAATTCACATACTGCAGAATATCCGTGTCTAATTTATGTGCCAGACCACGCCCATGTTGATGTTTATTGGTCAGTAGCAGCCATGTTGTTTGAGGTGCTAGCCTGGAAAATATTGCATTGAGAGAACTTGGTCCATAGATGCCATGTTTTAGGTTTTAGGCAGATCGGACATTCGGTGCCAGAGGAGTAGCGTTTTAAGTGTTTTTCACAAAATTCAAAATGGCGGAAAATCCATCATGGCGGACCTTATGGGTCCTAGAGGCAAATTTGTTTTTTGTGAGGAGAGGGACATATGTACAACATTGTATGACTCTAGGGGAGAATCTCAATTGCATACTCCTCGCGTCCTCTCTCCTCGCCTCCTCAAAACAGGACCTCTGGCTTTCTCATTCAATGGGTTTTGAGAAGGAGAGAGGAGAGGACACAAAGAGTTTGCAATTGAGATTCTCCCTAGGTCTCATGGGGGAGGGGCGTGACCTTTCAAAGTTTGCATCTTCAATTGTTTGTTATAGCACCACCATGTGGCCAATTGACATGGCACTGCCCTTTTTGCAAAGTCTCAACCTTGTAGGTCTTACCATCTCACGGTAATTTTAATTTGTGTGAATTTGCCCTTACGGAATAATAATAATAATAATAATAATGAACCCCAACAAATACAATAAGGTTTCTTGCAGCTTCGCTGCTTGAACCACTAATTAGCAAAGCATGTCAAAATAAGTGTCTAGACTTCAAAAGTCTATCAATACTGAGACATCTCCATCCATCCATCCAGGAATCCCATTCTTCTGTTTCCTGGTGCTGCTGCCACTTAACATCCCCTGGTCCGAGGTGGAGCAAACGTGGATGTGTGTGTTCCACTACCTTGCCTGCCTGTCCCCCACCGTGGGCTCCGTGCTCTACCATACCTTCATGAACCATGAGGGCGGGGAGCCCATCTACGACACACTCCTTTCCCTCGACATGGTCGGCGTCTGCCTGGTCAACACCTTGGGTAGGTAAAGTCAGATTCCAGATCAGTTTCTCAGGTCCTGTTTGAAATATATTTGAAAACGTATCCTTCCTTCCTATTCTCATCACACATCCATCCATCCATCCACATCCATCTTCATTGACTCTCCTGTTTCTGTGTGTCAACCAGGATGCCTGCCCATCATTTACATCACCCTGATGTGCTACCCTGTCACTTGCACCCTGGCCCTCCTGGCCTACAGCCTAATCTCGGCCTGGGGCATCCTCTGTGCCACCACAGCGCGTAGCAACTATGGGCGCCTTCGAGCTTTCATCTGGCAGGCCCTCTTCCGTGTGCTCCTCTTCCTATTCCGTTGGCTGGGAGACGGCGTAGGCAGCCCAGCTTCGCTGCGCCTCTTCTTCACCATGGACATGCTGGCTGTCATGGGGGGCCTGGTGAACCTTAGCCGGGTGCCCGAGCGCTTTAGCCCGGGCCTCTTCGACTACTGGTGCAACAGCCACCAGATAATGCACGTGCTGGTGATCTGCTCCATTATCTACATGCACTGGGGGATGCTGGAGGATTTAGCCTGGATTAAGACGTTCCAGTGTCCGGTGTTGGAGTGAGGGACAGAGGAGGATTGACGAGGCAAGGCCAGGAAATAGGGCTGGGGCGTAGGATTTAAGGAGGGGTGGGTAGGAGTCAGCATAAAAATAGAATGACCAGAATGGACAGCCCCATTCAAGTCTATGTTCGGTGGCCATGTTGAATGTACGTATCTATAAGTGCACAGTAACATTTCTGTGGTCTGAGGGGCTTTGTACCGTCTAGTAATTATATTTCTATGGGTGATGAGAGAGTGAAATTAAAGTTTTAAAATGCACTTTAGGACTAGCTGCTGAAATTACTGTAAGGATTACGATTGATTCACTGTCCATTTTGAAATATTCACCCCCTGTACAGCAGGAGAATGTAGGTGTAAGAATCGATTGGTGCTTTTTAAGATGTACGTCAGGGAATTGTTGTACAGCTTCTGAACCCACATTTCTGTTATTACTTTGCAATGAGATGGACACACATCCACATGATTCTGTATCAGTTAAAATGCAGTAGGCCTTTGCCTCCAGTGACCAACATAAATATTTTCAATGAAAAGGATTGCAATAAATTAAATAAATATATATTTCTATCTCCTGTTTCCAGTTATACTCCCTTTCAGTGTTTGACCATGAGAATTTTCTTGTCAGAAACAACTGTTACTGAGGCATGAAAAAGGAGAAAAGTTGGCTTTACTATGAAAATAACATGGCAGGACAAGAAAACGTAAGCTTTGGCGGTTTTATTGCAAGAAAGAGATATATATACACTCGAAAGGAAAAATGTAGATGCAAAACTCTCATTAGAAATGAATTATACATGGTTTATCAATATTAATACACTGTACTAGCATTTTATATCCAGATCAATCAGGTTTTTTTCTCATTATTTGTGTTTTATTCAGACTTGGCACCAAACAAATTACAGGCTTAACCATAGCATTCATGTAAACCAGAGTTCATCTTTCAGGCTTAGCATTGGTACCACAAGCAGTATCTTCTACTTGTACTGTGCCTTAAACCTTTAAATTTTAGTCATTTAGCAGACGCTCTTATCCAGAGCGACTTACAGTTAGTGAGTGCATACATATTTTTTCTCCATACTTTATACCCAAAAGCACAAGCATGTCAAATTCTGTGAGTATGATGATAAAGCAATGATGGACAGGTTGAGACTACAGGCTTGGCGTAAAAGAGGTTAACTTTCTAGACAACATTGCATCGACATAGAAATAGAATGCATAGACATGACAGTGTTCTGTTCCACAACAGATTGAGTCTATGCACTCTACTTCTACTTGCAACTTTGCGCTGTGTTCCTCAGTTCTGCAGACTAAGAGTGCCCCCGGGTCTATTTTTTCTGTTGCAGTGTGTCATTTACTCTTCATCAGAGCTGCTGTCATCCTCAGGCTCCGATAGATCAGCAATGGGGAAACGCAAGATGGCCGCCACTCCACTGAGCTGGGTCAACTCTGTACAAGGGAGAGACAGAGGAGGAGACTGCTCAATTGTTTAAGCAAATTATACAATATTTGGTTGACAAATAAAAACATCACACACTCAATGATGCAATGCTACTCAGTAACCCTATCAGTGAAATCCCCTATGGGGAGAAGAAACATTGGGTGTTTCTCAGTATGCATACTACCGTGCTCCACACTCTCATGCTCAGAGTGCATTCTCCGACCACGTACTCTTGAGTACGCTCGTGTGGGGAATGCATAAAACAATACATTTGAGAAGCACTCGCACTCCCCCTACTGTATTACCTTACGCTTCACCTCCCCATTCACTGAACCTTCTTTTAGCCAGGTCAATGGCAACAATAGACAAAACAAGGTCTTTACAAAGCAAACGTAATAATTATCAGCTAGATATGTGAATCGTAATAATCTAGCTAGCCAGCTAGTTAAACAGGCAAAAATGACCTAAAACTAAAGTTATGCAAGGTAGATGTAAATGTTTAGTGGGTAACTACCAATTCTTCGTGGCTAGCTAGCTAGCCCTATTGACTTACTATGGACCTACCCATTCACTGAACCGTCTTCCAGCTAGGACAACAATGGCAATAGAGACAAAACAAGATATATAAAAAGCAACCGTTTTACTTCATAACTATCAGCTTGCTCTATGTGAATCGTAATAATGTAGCTAACCAGATTGTTTAACAGGCAAAAATGACCTAAAACTAGTATTATGCAAGACAGATGTCAATTCTTTGTGGGTAGCTAGCAAACAATTATTTGTGGCTATCTGGCTAGCTAACAGCACTAGTAGCTAGCCCTATTGACTTATTATAGGCTTGCGCTCTACGGTACGTAGGCAGGTAAACATGCCAAAATTAACACAGCATGTATTTATTAACGTATCAAGATAAAATATTGTAGTCAGGTAACATATGAAATGTGAATAGGCAACATTTCATTCCAAAGTCAGAGTGTATTTTCTCTCGCTTCAGCTCAAATAATGGCCGCCATTGATTTAAAGAAATGTTGCATCATTTTGTACGTGGTTGCGTCATATTTCTTTGCATACTTGCCGTTGACGTTTGCATCGATGCATACTTCAAAATATGTACAAACGGAGTACGCATTTGAGAAGAGCCCTCTGTGCTCCGTTTCGCATACTTTGATTTGGACTCATACTTCGACCCTCCCGTGCTCGGAGCACGGTAGTATGCATTTTGAAAAACACCCGTGGTATACTACCAATAACACATCTGTGAAAATGGCATTGACATTTCACTAAATATGGAAGGAACAAAACTTACGTTCTCCAGATACATGAAGGCTTGAAAATATTCTGGGGTAGAAAATATAGAGGATTGGAATGAGAGTCAAGGACATGATCACTATAAGAAGCAATCATCATAATTACAGTATAAATTTGTCTACAGTAGCCTATCATATTTTCTGACTCATTATCATATTTTTGCCATTATCATAATTTCTCTTTCCCGCCTACCCCTACCTGACGGTTCCGCCATTGTCTCTCACGTTGTCCACCAACCGTACGTATCTACTCCGTGTGGCCACATCTTGGTGCCTGGGGACAGAGACATCCAAATGAAGAAATGAAGAACATGCACAGATAAGCGACGATACCCCCTCACAGCTCATCTTCTCGCCATCTCCTTCTCTCCTCATTGAGTGTATAAAACATTAGAAACACCTGCTCTTTCAATGACAGACTGACCAGGTGAATCCCTTATTTAATCACTTGTTAAATCCACTTCAATTTGTGTAGATGAAGGGGAGGAGACAGGTTAAAATAATGATTTGTAAGCTTTGAGACAATTGAGACATGGATTGTGCAATTCCATATTAGGAAGGTGTTCCTAATGTATTGTACACTCAGTGTAAGTCTACTTATCTTGAGAATAGAATAACTTTCTTTTTTCTGCAGGGAACTTTGGTTGTGGCATTCAAGTTATGTTATAAACACATATGAGCACAATTCACACACGACAGATACACATGAATTGTATGTGTATGTCTCTATCCTCACTTTCTCAAATATTTATATAAACACACACAAAATACAATGTTTTCCCTCACAGAAATACAGATATAACTCCATAAACTACATACCTGAAGAGCTTATCGCTAATCAACAAGATGTCAATAGCCAGTGCTTCGGTAGCTTTCTCCACGTGAGCCAACCTGCAACATCAAGTGAATAGAAAGGTCAGTGTTTAGTAGTGGTGGAACATGAGGACTCTCAACGTCATAGTCAGTCATGGCATCGTGTTCAGTAGGGCACACCGTAGCTAAATGTTTTGCAACGGAAAACGTGTTCTTATTAGCCTAATTCAGATTTTAGCGTAAAAGAAAGAAAACAAACCAAAACAGGGAGGGAGGGACTATCTGGACTTGTCCAACAACGTACATTTTTGTTTTCTGCCGCCAAACAGTATAAAACATTTTTTGCCGTATTCCCTAATAAACACAACCATGGTCTCTCTCTCACCCATAGAAGGCTCTGTCGGGCTCATGTTGTAGCATCTTGTAGAAGTCCTCCAGGGCTTTCACCTCTCCTGCTGCCTGTGAGTCACAGAGAAGACAAAGCATGAATAAATTGCAGTATTTCAATTGAAAGGGCCACGCAGAGTACAACTTTCTACACAATAAATTCATTAACACTGGATTAATAGACTATTAGTAGGATTAATAGACTAAATGGGACACTCACCTTGGTATCAGACAATCTAGCCGTGACAGCTGGATCGCATAGAATCTCTACAGGATAAAACACAACACAGTAAGCACTGCCCCACAGAAAAGGAAGAAATATCAAAACAACATTTGGAAAAAAAAGAAGACAAAAAACATAAGTAACACATTACTTAAAGTTGACAAGTATAATGCATTATTACATGTTGTAAGCATGATAAGAAGGCATAAGGGGTTATAAATGCTTATGGCAATTCTTACAATGCATTACAACCACATCAATAATTCATTGTAACGTTACCAAAACATGTTCCCCACCTTTTAGGGAGTATTTGTGTCCCGAGGAGGAGTGGACCAACATGAACTTGGGCCTGTTCTCCAGCAGAATCTTGGAGTCTTGTCGGACTGCCTCCCTGAAGAGGTAGGCCATGAACTGGTCCTTCACAAACCCTGGACTGGCCACCAGTATACACTTCACCACTGACACAGAAAGAAAAAAGACAGGGGGCCGGAGTGAGAAAGAGGTGATATTAGGTAAAAGGTGAGGAAAATAGAAGGTGTGTAGGGGGAGCGACCATCACGTGATCTAAATCTGCCCCATTTCACAGGCCAGATGATGCCTGCTTAATCAGCCCTGAGTTGTGTTCAGTAGGGAGTTTCACCATGAAGGGGGAGATACTTGAGGACTCACCGTCAAAGTTGATATGTCTGAGGATCCCCTGCATCACTGCCTCATAGAACCTATCCAGGGCCTGAGAGAGCGAAAGAACCCATTAGGAAACCAAACCCTTGCACATACTGATTGTACCCATTCTGATTGTTAAGTCGCTTACACACAGAAAAATAAAATACAGCCGCCTCCATTGGTTTATATGTAAAGCTGGCGGCAGGTTTGCCTCCCAACCTGGCGGGAGTGGAACAGGGAGGGACGGCATCTGCCGCCCACGGGCACGCAAGGTATATTTTTCTCTGCCGCTCCAGTTAAACACTTTAACCTTCTCGTGCTGGGTGCAGCTGCCTCTCTCCACCTTGTCCCTTACTAGGGTCATAGCGGGGGTCACCAGCACCAGGTTGGCCAGACCCTCCTGCATCACCAAGGCTAATTACTTTTGTATTACCATAGAATAGTCAATATGGCAATTTACTATGTCACACGGATTTCAAAGACTTCCTGAAACACTCAAATGGCAACCACCCACTGATGGTAGAACTGTAGTATGGAGTATGATCATTGTTCAAGGGAGGATTATATTAATCTGATACCAGATCTGTTTGTTCCAAACATTACTACAACCATAGTTGGCTACACAGCACAAATAGATCTGGGACCAGACTAGGATTATGTAGCATAGTGATAGTATAACAGAGTTAGATTTGCAGCTTGCTGCTCGTGCCGACTTTGGCAGCTCCCTGTCTGTAAGCCCCTTTAGTGATGGGGTCATGAAGCCTATACTGACCTTCTCATGCTGGGTGCAGCTGCCTCTCCTCTTGCGAGGGATGGTCACCTCCACCTTGGCCCTTAGTAGGGTCATAGCGGGGGTCACCAGCACCAGGTTGGCCAGACCCTCCTGCATCACCACGGCCGCTACGTCTGCCTTCTGGGTGGGGTCACACGCCTGCTCTGAGAGGGCCACAGGAAATAGAAGAAGAGTTCAGGTTGCATGAAGGCCTAGGTACTCAAAACAGGGTTCCCACTCTGTGGTAAATCCACATCTACAGATAAGAATTTCCACGTGACAACTTCCACACACACACACACACACACACATTAGGCAATGCAACGTACATGTTTCTGATCATTTAATTTATCAACTGTGATCCATATGAAAAATTCCCCAATTTTCTATAACTGCATCAATGTATTGACTAAATTCCCTGACTTTTCCTGTCTGGAATGCGTATTTGAAAATTCCATGATATTCCTGAAATTTCTCGACCCGTGGGAACCCTGTCAAAAACAGGTCTCAATATAGAGAACCATACGAAATACTTAGTGAGTGGAATACCTTGAAATTCAATGATTTTGATTGACATATTACGTACAAAACAGCAGGGATTTAGGCCTTTGAGGAGTTGTGCACTATCAACTCACAGGTTACAAGTACACACTCACCGATCCTATCGAGCACGACACTATCCCAGATCTTTTTGGCAAGTGTGAACTTCCTGTTTAGCTCCAACTCAATGGTGTGGTAAGCCCCCATCTAAGGACAGAGGAAAAAGCACTTCCTTCACTAGCTATCACAAAACAACAAAATATAAAATGGGAAACTCCACACAATTTAGACCATTAACATTAGCTTTCCTAGCATCATGATTTGTCTACTGGTAATTTGACAATGCCAAACTGACATAACAGTTACAGGCTAAAATGGAAGTGCGCTGTTTTTGTCCTGAACGTTGTTAATCTCTGACCTTCACATATTGATTCTCCTGGATGTTGGTTCCCTTCACCCTCAGCTGGCAGGCCTGTGAGTCAAAGTCAATAGTATCCACACACACACACAGGGTGGTGCGCACTCTGGAGCTCCCCACACTGCCCGTGGATGACTCAGTCTGCACCTTTCTGAGGAATCAGGGAGAAAGGTATCATGGGTCACTAAGGCTGCGCTTTTTAGTAAAGGTGTATGTGTGTGTTTGAGAGAGAGAGTGACAGACACAGTGAGGTAGATCGAGCATTACAGCTCAAGTGAGACTGAGAAAAGCTAATTACTTTTGTATTACCATAAAATAGTCAATATGGTAATATACTACGTCACACGGATTTCAAAGACTTCCTGAAACACTCAAATGGCAACCACCCACTGATGGTAGAACTGTAGTATGATCATGGTTCGCAGCAGGATTATATTAACCTGGTACCAGATCTGTTTGTGCCAGACATGACAACCACCATATTTGGCTACACAGCACAAATAGATCTGGGACCAGACTAGGATTATGTACCATAGTGATAGTGTAACAGAGTTAGATTTGTAACCTCACTCCATAGCTTGAAATGTTTCCACCCACACTATCGAATCACTAACTTTTCTATAGCACAGTTGTATAGACGTTGCCAAGTGGGCAGTCGTGAGTTTGCAAGACAGAGGATCCAAGATAGAGTACCCGTGCAGGCTCGAGAGGAATGAATGTTATGCTGTTAAGCAAGCACAATGACATCGGTCACAATAGCAAGTTCACCTAATAGTGGAGGCCATAAGACTGTCACCGATCTGCAGTAAGTTGTAGGTGTGCCACATGTCCTCTGCCTCTTCCGGCATCAGTGTCACCTGACTGGGAGAGAGAAACACACACATACACACACACACATCACAACCTTGATAAAAGAGCTCAGTTCAGGTTGTGTGAGATTGAATGTAATCAAAAGCAGCAGTAATGGGAATTGCTATTAGTGGTTCAAGTCAATGTTGGAAGATTGAAAGTTTAACTGAGGTTAGTCATTCAATTTGATCAGGACAAGAATAACTTTCTGTGTAGCAATAAGGATGGAAATGTATAGAGCAGGGGTTTTCAAACTGGTTTCCGGGGGGTCCGCAATATTATATATACACTACCGTTCAAAAGTTTGGGGTCACTTAGAAATGTCCTTGTTTTCCATGAAAACATACATGAAATGAGTTTGAATAGGAAATATAGCAAAATGTATAGGACATGTAGTCATTGACAAGGTTAGAAATAATGACTTTTAATATAAATAATAATTGTGTCCTTCAAACTTTGCTTTCGTCAAAGAATCCTCCATTTGCAGCTATTACAGCCTTGCAGACCTTTGGCATTCTAGTTGTCAATTTGTTGAGGTAATCTGAAGAGATTTCCTCCCATGCTTCCTGAAGCACCTCCCACAAGTTGGATTGGCTTGATGGGCACTTCTTACCTACATTTACATTTTCGTCATTTAGCAGACGCTCTTATCCAGAGCGACTTACAAATTGGTGCATTCACCTTATGATAGCCAGTGGGACAACCACTTTACAATTATTATTTATTATTATTTTTGGGGGGGTGGGGTAAGGGGGGATAGAAGGATTACTTTATCCTATCCCAGGTCTTCCTTAAAGAGGTGGGGTTTCAAGTGTCTCCGGAAGGTGGTGAGTGACTCCGCTGTCCTGGCGTCGTGAGGGAGCTTGTTCCACCATTGGGTACCATACGGTCAAGCTACTCCCACAACAGCTCAATAGGGTTGAGAGCCAGTGACTGTGCTGGCCACTCAATTATAGACAGAATACCAGCTGACTGCTTCTTCACTAAATAGTTATTGCATAGTTTGGAGCTGTGCTTTGGGTCATTGTCCTGTTGTAGGAGGAAATTGGTTCCAATCAAGCGCCGTCCACAGGGTATGGCATGGCGTTGCAAAATGGAGTGATAGCCTTCCTTCTTCAAGATCCCTTTTACCCTGTACAAATCTCCCACTTTACCACCACCAAAGCACCCCCATACCATCACATTGCCTCCAACATGCTTGACAGATGGCATCAAGCACTCCTCCAGCATCTTTTCATTTGGTCTGCGTCTCACAAATGTTCTTCTTTGTGATCCGAACACCTCAAACTTCAATTTGTCTGTCCATAACACTTTTTTTCCAATCTTCCTCTGTCCAATGTCTGTGTTCTTTTGCCCATCTTAATTTTTTCTTTTTATTGGCCAGTCTGAGATATGGCTTTTTCTTTACAACTCTGCCTAGAAGGTCAGCATCCCGAAGTCGTCTCTTCACTTTTGACGTTGAGACTGGTGTTTTGCGGGTCCTATTTAATGAAGCTGCCAGTTGAGGACCTGTGAGGCGTCTGTTTCTCAAATTAGACACTAATGTATTTGTCCTCTTGCTCAGTTGTGCACCGGGGCCTCCCACTGATGGTGGCTGATAATGGGCCTCTGTACGCCTATGTAGATATTCCATTAAAAATCAGCCGTTTCCAGCTACAATAGCCATTTACAATGTCTACACTGTATTTCTGATCAATTTGATGTTATTTTAAAAGGACAAAATTATGACTTTCTTTCGAAAACAAGCACATTTCTAAGTGACCCCAAACTTTTGAACGGTAGTGTATATATACAGTACCAGTCAAAAGTTTGGACACCTACTAATTCAAGGGTTTTTCCTTATTTTTACCATTTTCTACATTGTAGAATAGTGAACACATCAAAACTATGAAATAACACATATGGAATCATGTAGTAACCAAAAAAGTGTTAAACAAATCAAAATATATTTGAGATTCTTCAAATAGCCACCCTTTGCCTTGATGACAGCTTTGCACACTCTTGACATTATCTCAACCAGATTCATGAGGTAGTAACCTGGAATGCATTTCAATTAACAGGTGTGCCTTGTTAAAAGTTAATTTGTGGAATTTCTTTCCATCTTAATGCATTTGAGCCAATCAGTTGTGTTGTGACAAGGTAGGGGTGGTATACAGAAGATAGCCCTATTTGGTAAAAGACCAAGTCCATATTATGGCAATAACCATCAAGAGCTATGATGAAACTTGCTCTCATGAGGACCGCCACAGGAAAGGAAGAGTTACCTCTGCTCCAGAGGATAAGTTCATTAGAGTTATCAGCCCAAATAAATGCTTCACAGAGTTCAAGTAACAGACACATCTCAACATCAACTGTTCAGAGGAGACTGCGTGAATCAGGCCTTCATGGTCGAATTGCTGCAAAGAAACCACTACTAAAGGACACCAAAGAAGAGACTCGTTTGGGCCAAGAAACACGAGCAATGGACACTAGACCGGTGGAAATCTGTCCTTTGGTCTGATGAGTCCAAATTTGAGATTTTTGGTTCCAACCGCTGTGTCTTTGTGAGACGCAGAGTAGGTGAACGGATGATCTCCGCATGTGTGGGTACCACCGTGAAGCATGGAGGAAGAGGTGTTATGGTGTGTGGGTGCTTTGCTGGTGACACTGTCTGTGATTTATTTAGAATTCAAGGCACACTTTACCAGCATGGCTATCATAGCATTCTGCAGCGATTCGCCATCCCATCTGGTTCACGCTTAGTGGGACTATCATTTGTTCTTCAACAGGACATTGACCCAAAACACACCTCCAGGCTGTGTAAGGGCAATTCGACCAAGAAGGAGAGTGATGGAGTGCTGCATCAGATGACCTGGCCTTCACAATCACCCGATCTCAACCCAATTGAAATGGTTTGGGATGAGTTGGACCGCAGAGTGAAGGAAAAGCAGCCATCAAGTGCTGAGCATATGTGGGAACTCCTTCAAGACTGTTGGAAAAGCATTCCTCATGAAGCTGGTTGAGAGAATGCCAAGAGTGTTCAAAGCTGTCATCAAGGCAAATGGTGGTTACTTTGAAGAATCTCAAATATAAATGTTATGTTTAACACTTTTTTGGTTACTACATGATTCCATATGTGTAATTATAGCGATGGCTTCACTATTATTCTACAATGTAGAAAATAGGAAAAATAAGGAAAAACCTTTGAATGAGTATGTGTGTCCAAACTTTTGACTGGTACTGTATATACAGCGCATTCTGCAAGTATTCAGACCCCTTCCCTTTTTCCACACATTGTTATTTTACAGCCTTATAATAAAATTGATTAAATACATTTTTTCCTCATCAATCTCATCAATCTACAAAGCAATGACAAAGCAAAAACAGGTAAAAAAAACTGAAATATCACATTTACACAAGTATTCAGACCCTTTACTCAGTACTCTGTTGAAGCACCTTTGGCAGCGATTACAGCCTCGAGTCTTCTTGGGTATGACGCTACAAGCTTGGCACACCTGTATTTGGGGAATTTTCCCATTCTTCTCTGCAGATCCTCTCAAGCTCTGTCAGGTTGGATGGGTAACGTCGCTGCACAGCTATTTTCGGCTCTCTCCAGAGATGTTCGATTGGGTTCAAGTCCGGGCTCTGGCTGGGCCACTCAAGGACATTCAGAGACATGTCCCAAACCCACTCCTGCGTTGTCTTGGCTGTGTGCTTAGGGTCGTTGTCCTGTTGCAAGGTGAACCTTTGCCCCAGTCTGAAGTCCAGAGCGCTCTGGAGCAGGTTTTCATCAAGGATCTCTCTGTAATTTGCTCCGTTCATCTTTCCCTCGATCCTGACTAGTCTCCCAGTCCCTGCTGCTGAAAAACATTCCCACAGCATGATGCTGCCACCACCATGCTTCACTGTAGGGATGGTATTGGTCAGGTGATGTGCAGTGCCTGGTTTCCTACCGACGTGACGCTTTGCATTCAGGTCAGAGTTCAATCTTGGTTTCATCAGACCAGAGAATCTTGTTTCTCATGGTCTGAGAGTCCTTTAGGTGCGTTTTGGCAAACTCCAAGAAGGTTGTCATGTCCGTCTGGCCACTCTACCATAAAGGACTGATTAGTGGAGTGCTGCAGAGATGGTTGTCCTTCTGGAAGGTTCTCCCATCTCCACAGAGAAACTCTGGAGCTCTGTCAGAGTGACCATCAGGTTCTTGGTCACCTCCCTGAGCAAGGCCCTCACCCGGGCGGCCAGCTCTAGGAAGAGTCTTGGTGGTTCTAAACTTCTTCAATTTAAGAATGATGGAGGCCACTATTTTCTTGGGGACCTTCAATGCTGCAGACATTTTTTGGTACCCTTCCCCAGATCTGTGCCTCGACACAATCCTGTCTCTGAGCTCTACGGACAATTCCTTCGACCTCATGGCTTGGTTTTTGCTCTGACATGCACTGTCAACTGTGGGACCTTCTATAGACAAGTATGTGCCTTTCCAAATCATGTCCAATCAATTGAATTTACTACAGGTAAAGTTATAGAAACATCTCAAGGATGATCAATGGAAACAGGATGCACCTGAGCTCAATTTCGAGTCTCATAGCAAAGGGTCTGAATACTTAAGTAAATAAGGTATTTCAGTTTTTATTTGTAATACATTTGCAAATATTTCTAAAAACCTGTTTTCGCTTCGTCATTATGGGGTATTGTGTGTAGATTGATGAGAAAAAAAGTGAAGCGGTCTTAATACTTTCCGAATGCACTGTATCTAGCGTACTTACAATGACCGCGATATGTGGTTGTCTCACCTTGCTATCTTAAGAACAATGTAAGAATAATTAACTGTAAGTTGCTCTGGATAAGAGCATCTGCTAAAAGGCCTTAAATGTAAATGTAGACAGTCAAGTGTAATTGAAAATTCCAAAAACCAGGCATTCAGGGCACATGCTCATTGATTTTGTTATAATGTTTGCACAGAGGAACACAGCATTAGCCATGGCAAAATGCACTGAATTGTAGTAAATTAGCTTCAAAACATCAAAATGTGTACTGCAGAAAATGTGCTTTCCAACAGTAAAATGTTCTCTATGCCAAGAAACCTTTACATTTACATTACTAGTTAAAAGATGTTAGAGTTTACACTTCCTCTTACAATGAACTGTGGACAGGGAGGTAAAAATAATGAAACTGTCTACCAAATCTATTTATTTTAAAATGTTGATTACTTCTACTTGCCATTCACCTGATGATAAGACAAGACGTGATTATATATATTTTTGCTAACATATGGGGGCCCTGGGTTGCCTGCGCGGGGGTCCCTGGGCAACAAAAGTTTCAAAACCCCTGGTATAGAGCACTCAGCACACCAATATTACAATTCAAAGGTATTTCTACGATGATATTCTAGCTAGTATGCATGACTATGAGTATGGTCAACTGCGCATATTTGGTGCTCAGCAGCTGATAAACCAGGACGGCCATTTCCTATCAAATTCAACAACACATGGATACACCATTGTTCATGTTTAATGATGTATTGAAATGCCATACAATAGACTGGTGGTGCCTATGAATAGTTGCACTGTACCAGAAGTATATTGCTACGTCGGACACTAGTGCTAGCTAGCAACAAAATAACGTGAAACAGACCTGCTAGCTTTAACCTGCTAGCTTTAACGTTCGTTAGCTAGCTAGCTAGCTAGCCTGTTGATACTCACTTACCCGGCATTGTCTTTTTCGATATCTTTATGAAGCAACTTCATGGTATAATAGCTTTGTTATAAACGACAGTATTATTTGCTAGCATATGAAGGCGTTATTATTACATTTAGCTGGTGTCATATTTACTCCCTCTCAAGAGTCAAGCCATTTAGCTATTTCTTTAGAACCGCTCAAGAGGTTAGGGTTGGTAGCCTGACCTCCGTTCCACCAGCAAGAATAAGCAATACATAGCAAGAATAAGGCGGCAATATCCCTTCAAAATAAAGTCCCACAAATGGTCGAAATTCTTAATATTTTATGAGGAAATCATAGCACTTATCATTTTGTTTTACAATAATAAAAAATAAAAAAGTTCAGCACCTTTATAGCACAAATAATATTATCCGCATTGATATTATTGTTAACAGCATTAAGAGTAATGCTGTCACTTTAACTCTACCCACATGTACATATGACCTCAATTACCTCGACTAGCCAGTGCCCCCTCACATTGACTCTGTACTGGTACCCCCCTGTATATAGCCTCCCTACTGTTATTTTATTTTACTGCTGCTCTTTAGCAATTTGCTTTTATTTAATATTTTTCTTTAATTAACACTTTTTTCTTTTACATTTTTCTTTTTAAAAACTGCATTGTTGGTTAAGGGCTTGTAAGTAAGCATTTCACTGTAATGTCTACACCTGCTGTATTCGGCGCATGTGGCAAAAACATTTTGATTTGATCTGTTCAAATGAAATTGTCACATACACACACATATTTTGCTGATGTTTAAATGTAATGTAAATGAGTAGTGAAATGCTTATGTTTCTAGCGCTAGCTCCAACAGTGCAGTAATACCTAACAATACAAAACGATACACATAAATGAAAAATATTTACAGAAACAAATATCAGAAGAGCAATGTCAGAGTCAGGAATATAAATATATATGTATGTATATACACTGCTCAAAAAAATAAAGGTAACACTAAAATAACACATCCTAGATCTGAATGAATGAAATAATCTTATTAAATACTTTTTTCTTTACATAGTTGAATGTGCTGACAACAAAATCACACAAAAATTATCAATGGAAATCAAATTTATCAACCCATGGAGGTCTGGATTTGGAGTCACCCTCAAAATTTAAGTGGAAAACCACACTACAGGCTGATCCAACTTTGATGTAATGTCCTTAAAACAAGTCAAAATGAGGCTCAGTAGTGTGTGTGGCCTCCACGTGCCTGTATGACCTCCCTACAACACCTGGGCATGCTCCTGATGAGGTGGCGGTCTCCTGAGGGATCTCCTCCCAGACCTGGACTAAAGCATCCGCCAACTCCTGGACAGTCTGTGGTGCAACATGTCCCAGATGTGCTCATTTGGATTCAGGTCTGGGGAACGGGCGGGCCAGTCCATAGCATCAATGCCTTCCTCTTGCAGGAACTGCTGACACACTCCAGCCACATGAGGTCTTGCATTAGGAGGAACCCAGGGCCAACCGCACCAGCATATGGTCTCACAAGGGGTCTGAGGATCTCATCTCGGTACCTAATGGCAGTCAGGCTACCTCTGGCGAGCACATGGAGGGCTGTGCGGCCCCCCAAAGAAATGCCACCCCACACCATGACTGACCCACCGCCAAACCGGTCATGCTGGAGGATGTTGCAGGCAGCAGAACGTTCTCCACGGCGTCTCCAGACTCTGTCACGTCTGTCACATGTGCTCAGTGTGAACCTGCTTTCATCTGTGAAGAGCACAGGGCGCCAGTGGCGAATTTGCCAATCTTGGTGTTCTCTGGCAAATGCCAAACGTCCTGCACGGTGTTGGGCTGTAAGCACAACCCCCACCTGTGGACGCCGGGCCCTCATACCACCCTCATGGAGTCTGTTTCTGACCGTTTGAGCAGACACTTTTGTGGCCTGCTGGAGGTCATTTTGCAGGGCTCTGGCAGTGCAGTCCTCCTGCTCCTCCTTGCACAAAGGCGGAGGTAGCAGTCCTGCTGCTGGGTTGTTGCCCTCCTACGGCCTCCTCCACGTCTCCTGATGTACTGGCCTGTCTCCTGGTAGCGCCTCCATGCTCTGGACACTACGCTGACAGACACAGCAAACCTTCTTGCCACAGCTCGCATTGATGTGCCATCCTGGATGAGCTGCACTACCTGAGCCACTTGTGTGGGTTGTAGACTCCGTCTCATGCTACCACTAGAGTGAAAGCACCGCCAGCATTCAAAAGTGACCAAAACATCAGCCAGGAAGCATAGGAACTGAGAAGTGGTCTGTGGTCACCACCTGCAAAACCAGTCCTTTATTGGAGGTGTCTTGCTAATTGCCTATAATTTCCACCTGTTGTCTATTCCATTTGCACAACAGCATGTGAAATGTATTGTCAATCAGTGTTGCTTCCTAAGTGGACAGTTTGATTTCACAGAAGTGTGATTGACTTGGAGTTACATTGTGTTGTTTAAGTGTTCCCTTTATTTTTTTGAGCAGTGTCTATAATGGTGTATATAGACAGTATGGACAGTATATTATTAGAAAAGGTGCGTACATCAGTAGTTATATAGCATGAGCCTTGACTAGAATACAGTCTATACATATGAAGTGGGTAAAACAGTATGTAAACATTGTGACCAGTGTTCGATCACTATGTACAGTGCCTTCAAAAAGTATTCACACCCCTTTCCTTTTTCCACATTTTCTTACAGCCTGAATTTAAAATGGATTAAATTGAGATTGTGTGTCACTGATCTAAACACAATACCCCATAATGTCAAAGTGAAATTATGTTTTTAGACATTTTTACTAATTAATTAAAAATGAAAAGCTGAAATGTCTTGAGTCAATAAGTATTCAACCCTTTTTGTTATGGCAAGCCTAAATATGTTCAGGAGTAAAAATGTGCTTAACAAGTCACATAATAAGTTGCCTGGACTCACTATGTGTGCAATAATAGTGTTTAACATGGCTTTTGAATGACTACACCATCTCTGTACCCCACACATACAATTATCTGTAAGGTCCCTCAGTCGAGCAGGGAATTTCAAGCACAGATTAAATCACAAAGAACATTGGCAGATGGGTATAAAAAAAAACAGACATTGAAAAATCCCTTTGAGCATGGTGCAGTTATTCATTACACTTTGGATGGTGTATCAATACACCCAGTCACTACAAAGATACAGGGGCCCTTCCTAACTCAGTTGCCGGAGAGGAAGGAAACCGCTCAGGGATTTCACCATGAGGCCAATGGTGATTTTAAAACAGTTACAGCGTTTAATAGCTGTGATAGGAGATAACTGAGGATGGCTCAACAACATTGTAGTTACTCCACAACACTAACATAAGCACCATAGTACCTTCCAAGCTCATCATTAAGCTTGGGGCCCTGGGTCTGAACCCTGCCCTGTGCAACTGGATCCTGGACTTCATGACGGGCCGCCCCCAGGTGGTGAAGGTAGGCAACAACACCTCCACTACGCTGATCCTCAACACAGGGGCCCCACAAGGGTGCGTGCTCAGCCCCCTCCTGTACTCCCTGTGTACCCATCCACATCGACAGGGCCACAGTGGAGAAGGTGAAAAGCCTCAATTTCCTCAGCATACACATCACTGACAATCTGAAATGGTCCACCCACACAGACAGTATGGTGAAGAAGGCGCAACAGCGCCTCTTCAAACTCAGGAGGCTGAAGAAATTCAGCTTGGCCCCTGAGACGTTCACAAACTTTTACAGATGTCCCGTGTAGCTCAGTTGGTAGAGCATGGCGCTTGCAATGCCAGGGTTGTGGGTTCGATTCCCACGGGGCGGCAGGTAGCTTATTGGGTAAGAGCGTTGTGCCAGTTGCCAAAAGGTCGCTGGTTCTAATCCCCGAGTTGACTAGGTGACAAATCTGTCGATGTGCCCTTGAGCAAGGCACTTAACCCTAATTGCTCCTGTAAGTCGCACTGGATAAGAGCGTCTGCTAAATGACAAAAAAATTAAAATAAATTTAAAAAGATGCACCATTGACAGCATCCTGTCGGGCTGTATCACCGCCTGGTACGGCAACTGCACCATCTGCAACCACAGGTTTTTCACGTTGTTGAGCGTGAAAAACCCAGCAGCATTGCAGTTCTGCCTCAAAAAATATATTTTATTTGTCTATCCAAAATGCTTGACCTGATGCATGTTTTGGCACGTAAGGTTAGCCTTGGGCCAGTGGCGTGTATTCATGGATGCCAAAGGAAGCCAGGCTTCCCCAAAAAAATTACAAAGAAAAAAGATAACATACATTACAAAAAATATATTTAGTCTCTCTGTGTTTCATAATTTTCCTTCAATTCGCAAGAGGCTGAATGTATCTCACAGTAGAAAGCATCCGAGCAAGCGATACAGCGCCCGCTGTCTCTCTACGTGTAGGCCATCTATCTGATGCTGTCTGGTCCAAACGAGTATGACATTGTTGCCGCCCGTAGCGTTGAAGGCAAGGGAAGCCAGTGAGCATTTGGCCTCCCTTGACAAAAATAAAATAAAAAATTAGCCAATCAATGTTGAGCTAAACTGAGCGAGCTCAACTGTGAATGGTCCTGACGCACCCACATTTTTTTTCAAGGGAAGCCAGAAAAACTTGAATTGTTGCATCTCGTTGTGTCATTGTCCTCCGGTGGCTTGGCTTCCCCAGTGATTTTACCCACGCACTGCTACTGCCTTGGGCTGATTTACATGTGTAAAGTTTGCAGCCTGCTCATCATCATTAGGATAATATAGGTCATTTATAGGTATGCCAATCAGTTAACACTCCATTTAATGATCACATTGTCTCCATTGTTTCGCTTAAGCAGTTAGCTTCTCACCTAATCACCCGTTAATAGTCGGAATTTGGCACCTCCATTATAGGCCAAGCCAAGAGTGAAAGTCTGGTATGGAATAGCGTTTTTAATTCACACTGGAAGCAAACAAAGAGTAAGCTAAAATAGTTCATGTATTCCTTTGTAATTAAGATATAGCCCTGCATTAGTCAGTCAGCATAGAGTTAAAGTGACAGTACAAAAGTCCAGACTGGACCCTTTTGTTCAAACTCATCTGTTTTGTATGCTCGGGACTCTAGTGAGTAGGATGGACCCTGGTTTTATGGACACAAAATCGATTATCTACGGTGTAATATGTATGTCCAATATGAAAAACGTACTGCATTTAAGCTAATTGGCCACGCAAGATGAGCAGCAACGCTCCTCGGTGTGTAAA